ACTATAACTAATTAGTATGATGTATGAGGACAAGAATAAAGAACCGAATTGAACTGAAGGCTGATGGTATCAGCCATAAATGCAGGTACTTAGCTCGACCCAACCAATGGTGTCGTCCTGCAGGGGGCCCCTGGGACCCCATTACACTACGTGGTGCAGAACCAGAGAGGCTGATGTCCTAATCAGCTTAAATCCTGTCTATCTAGTTGATGCTCATCCATGGTCCCCTTGCAAAATGCAAGGAACCTCGACTGCAGGGGAGTAGGTACTGTAGAGATAAATGGATAAGGGGGCTGGGTCTTTACTGGGGGGGCTGATGGCAAACTATTTATGACTTAAGTCCATAAATACACATTTATTTGGGGGGAATAAAAAACACTTTAGGCCTCTGCTCCACTGTAATGCTGCAGGAACAAGGTTGAGGAGATGCTGTCAGGATCCATTCAGATCTGTCACAGTGTTGCCTGAGTAAATAATCACATTTTCTGGCTGGTTCTGATGGCCGGGTGCCTGCAGCCCGTCCCTGGAGGCCGGAACCAAAGGCCTTCAGTGTCAGTCTTTGACTTTTATGACGTACATAAATATACGACGCAAGCTCTGTCTCTTTGATGTCTCAGAGGCTCACCTTGAGTTGCGAGCGGCTCGCTGGAGGGATTTTAAAAAGTCACATCTGTGACGGATTTAGTAAGTGGAGCACGCTGGCGGCTCTCTGGCCCAGGTCTCCTGGTACAGGGTGTGTGCAGTGCCCACACCTCTGATCCACCGCTGTGGTGGTACAATCCAGCTCAGTCTGCAGAAGATTATCGGCCCTGAATTGTCATCTGTCCAACATACCCGTGGTTACGTACGCCACTCAACATTTTAGCAATCATCCTGGGGTTTAATCTGTTATGCTACTGCTGTTATCCCACATACTGTCTGTCCTGGATACTCTGAAGCCTGCTGAATGGCTGAGAGTATTACAGAGCATCAGCCTTAGTACCAATGCCGCTGTTGGGGGAGGAGCCTTCTGAAGCACCACCAATCACAGCAAGTGTATACCTTATCTCCTCCAATCATGTCTCTGTAAAACAGTGGGTCAGGGAACCGTGTCAAGAATGTTATGGGTTCAACTCCTACGGCCAGAAATTATATCACCTTTGGGTCCTCAAATCATGCCCTTGGCCTCAACGACTTCAGGTGCCCTGCTATTAAGCTTTATCTGCTATTTGTACGAGAACGGGTCCATCTAGGAATGCTCCTTCCTTTTACACACACAGATGAGAGCAAAGCTTGGGGTCTGAGCACACGGTCAGCCATTCATCCAATATCCCTGGAGCATTATTTTGGGGGGGGGGTTAAGGACCTTGCTCAAGGGCCCAACAGAGATGTGGTAACTCTGCCAAGCATAGGATTTGAACTGGTGACCTTCTGCTCACAGACACAGGCCTAACTTACTGAGGGCCACCTGCCCTGGATACTGACTGACCCTGAGCTCTGACTTCAGGCTTTGATTCCCTGGATACTGACTGACCCTGAGCTCTGACTTCAGGCTTTGATTTGGACTGAAGCATCTGCTAAATAAATGTAAATAATAGGCACTGTCCCAAAGAAGCTGCAGTGAGCCTCACTACCCATGTCACAATCGTCTGCTATGGTCTGCAGACTGGTGGGGAGAGTCTGGCCATGGTTCCGGGGAGACACCCTTCATACTTGGGGATGGGCACTCTCCGGAGCCACACCCCATTGTGGTCGGAGATGTGTGAAGCATGGTAGCTGTCTTTAAAACTGGCAGCCGCATGATCTCGGGGGAGGGGCTTGTTTTATTTCCCAGCTTTCTCCCTTAGCTTGTGACACGCTAACGCCCCCAACAGGACAGCCTTGGCCCTGCTGGGGCCTGCTGGCAGGTGGCGGTGTGCTGCATACAAATGGAAGTATGACTCCACACATCCATTCACTGCTTCCAGCTACAGCCCCTGAAGGCCGTGTTTCATGAACTTCACTCCTACATCTTACATTTACCATCCCTTTGATCTCGCTCTGAAAGCCTTCCTTTTTAAACAGGTCAGGGCTGGTACTTATAGTACAATATAATTATGGTTGCAAGTCGGATAAAAGCACACATGCTTAGCAAGTCCCTTTCTGTGTATTCGAATTTATATGTGGCAATTACTGAGATATTATCTTAGAAGTGAATCATTTTTTAATGCTCCTGAATTTGCTAATGGGCTTTTCAGTTCCACCTGGAAAGTCTCTGTAAAGCTCTTTATGTCATTTATGTTGTACGAATGTGAAATATTGAATTTGATTGGTTGTGATTTTATGTGTCCACTGGGAAGTATCATCGCAAACCATGTTGCTACCAGAAGAAAGACTCGCAGGAGATGCCTTAGGGTGGACTGGCTGGTGGGAATGACATGTTCTTGGACCAATAAAATCCCCAGCAGGATCATATTTGCTGAATGCATGAGCCGCTCATCGCTGCCCCATAGACTGCAGTCTTACAAAGCAAGATTGTGGGAGTTAAATTAAGTATGTAGGTCAACCTACAATAATTACTCCACATAAAAATGGAGTGGCAATTTGGGTGCAGTCCAGGCTTCCGTGTATTTAAAGACTCGGAAGCTTCAAAATACAAAATGAAGAACTGGCAGAGAGAGGGAAAGGTCCCAGATTGAGTATAGATCTGCCTCTCCGTGGGTCATTTGTGTTTTCATTACAAAGTCATCTCGATATAAAACAGCGGTTCCTACAGCTGTGTCCAGACGGTCAGTGAATTTATCATGTTTCTCTGACCTGGTTAATAAAGGAGCGGGAGGAGCGCGTCCCCAATGACCGCGGAGTCGCTTACGCACAGGCGCTATCTGTTTACAGCTGCAGGCGCGTGGTCAGCTGTTTCTACAGTAACTTTTTAATTAGCTTTTAAAATTACACCTACACAGCCGATCGAATCATGGACTGATATGATTTCCTATACAGGTAATGGCTTGATTTTACGCAAGATAATAGGCGAAAAAATACAAACCCTGCACATATTGAGGAATTATACTCACTATTTACTGCATAAACTAATTATGTTTTCTTGCCATTTCAGTACTGACCCTCATGTTTTTCTGTTATTGCATGGCTAGACCAAGACATCTAAAATAGTAATAGAGCTCCCTCTCCTGGTTATATGTGTACATAGACTCGTTTTCATCCTTATTTACAGTTACACCGCATTTGAAAACGAAGGATCTTGGTTGATGTCATAGACTGGCTGTGTATTTCAGTACTGAATATTTCAGTTGAAACTATAAATCAATCAGCTATTTGTCCTGAACAAGTCTCATGGGCACATACACAATCACACACTATGGGCAAGTTAGAGATACCAATTAGCCTGAACGCACTACAACACCTGCAACACTTGCAAATACAGGAGTAGCAAGCGAACATCACGCTGACCATGGAAATATGAGGCAACAATGCTTCCCTGCTAAGCCGCCCCTCAAATAAATCCAGCACACCTTCTAAAATGTTCTCAACCAGGCTAAATTGGACTGTGTAATTTATCAGTTAGATATACAATTTAAAAATCGGGACTTTTTCGGAGAATGCTCCCCCTATCGGTCATACAGGAGTCTGTCCTCTTCCTCAATGCCCCACCGTGTGAACAAGACAGCGACCTTCCATCTGTTGTTCTCACCCCTGTGGGATGTGTGATAAGCTAATTAAAAAGTTCTGTTAATGAATGTCTGCTTCCAAGTTAAATTAATGAATTGTTTTGATTTTTCAAAATTCCTAGCATTTTTTCCCCATTTGTATCAATGTTTGTAGCTTAATTGTGTAGAATAAATTGAAATAACAGCACATTGCCTTTACCTGTATTTTAAAATGCTTCACATTTTGAAGGTTTCACATGAGGCTCTAACCCCCCAATCTCTCCCCCCACCCACTGTCGCCATGACAAACAAAAGCAGTTAGAAGAATGCAATGGATGAAAACAGGATACTGGACTCCTTCAGTGGTTTTCTGTGTTACATTGTACCAATAGGTGGCACTGTAATGCTCATCTGCTCATCTTCCAACTGCCTATCATGGGCAAGGGAGATGTTTACTCACAAGCCTCTGCAAAATGTCAATTAACATTAGATTGGATTTAAACACATTTCATTAATCGGTCGCCTTACAACAGACTGCTAACGCCAAAGTGATGTCATTATCTACATATCCATTTTACATATCCATCTTCCAAATGCTTATCATAAACAGTGTAATCCATTCTGGTGTGTTGAGAGTGGTGTAGTGCTTTGTTGAGTAGCACTTTTGCCTCACACCTCTATAGCTGTGGATTAGGTTATCCTGGGAAGCACAGGGTGAGGACCACACTCTTTACAGAATCCCTGACCATCACAAACACATGCACACACCATGATTGTTTTTTAGTTGTCAGGTCACCTAACTGCATAATTTTCGACTGTAAGTAGAGACCAGTGCGCCTGAAAAAGACACACTTAAAACCAGGAGAATGTTAGTTTGAATAAAGGTGGGATGGTCGCTCAGGGACTGAGTTAGGGATCCATATTTATGTCCTGAAGGTTTTGGATTTAAATCCTGTGACTTGCAGCGTGATTGTATTACTGTTTGTCAAGGCCATTAACCATAATTGCTGATCCTCCTCTGTGATCCTCATTTGTTGCTTTGGAGAAAAGCTTCTTCTAAATAAATAAATGTAATATATAAAAACGTAATTTATTTGTGACATAGTTACTGATGCTTTCTTTCACAAGTTTGTTACTGTGGTGGGTCAAGTTCATAAATGAACGAGGTATAAGGTAAATATTTTTAAAAAACGATACACATTTTTAAACAATATATTAACGCTATCAGATTATGTTTTTAAAACTATGCGGTAACGCAAACAGCAGAATAATAAACCACTTATCTGTGAGGAGTGGGTTGAATGGTTTCGTTGCTTGCGGTTTGACATACGTATTACGTCCTCCGTGACGTAACACGGAACGATACCATTTCCTTTCAAGGAGCTTGTTACGTCACCGCTAAGGTGACAGTGGGGGCTGGGGTGACAGAAATTGACAAACAGGCGCTTAGTTAGATCGGGGGGTTAAACCCTAACGAGGAGACACGGCAGCAAAGGTGTTCATTTTGAAATTACTAACTCTTCATTCAAAGGTTAGTGCGTTTGCATTGTCTCATTTGTACTATTGTTAACGATATTCTTTTTAAACTTAATCGGAAGTATAAGAGTAACTTTTTTTTTTTACTTCTTAGCTGTATCTGCAGTGTTCATAGCTATCGGTGCGTTACCTTGCTGAATTATAGCGTTGCTGTTTTTCCTTCTTCTGTTTTTACTCTGTCGGTCTTTAACCTAGGTATGTTTTGTTTAATTCTTTTATGGAAGCCTCGAGTGAACTGGCTTCCATTGTAGGCGTATGGTGTGACATTTTCCGGCCAAAATGTTTATTTAAGGACTGACATGAAAACTAGCTCTCATATGTTTACCGTTTATGTTCAACAAAGTTAATCTGTTAAGTTTCAAACTGGATTGGGTCTGTGATACTTTATCTCAGACCCCAGACAGACAATCTGTGACGAGCAAGTGGCAAAGGGACTAGCCGACATCGCAATTTAATCTGTGGCAATAACGGATACCCACAGTAACTTTTTGACATTTTTCAGTTAGCAAGAGGTTTTTGTTTTGTAATTCGCACCGGGCAATGGCGTCAGTGGGAGAAAAGAAATTTTATAAATAATTAATTGCACCACCAAGCGTGTTTAATACAAATAATCGCCTGTGAATAGTAAAAAAAAAAAAAAAACTGAAAAAAACACTTAGGTAATGCTAAACGGTATATCACAACATTATCTTTGTCTCCCTATAAAATAATACATACTTTTTCTTTAAAATACTATAGTAAGATGTTTAAAAGGTTTCCTTTTTTCCTCTCAACCAACCTTGTAAGATAAAAATTATAGTGATGATTGACATCGGGGTTAATCAATGAACTGTGTCGTGGGCGTGGTCTTTGGTAATAGCAGCCAATAATAGCTAGGTGGGCGTCAGCTCTTTTTCCTGCCTTTTTTTTTTTTTTTTTTTACCTTAAGTTGTTGAGTTGTACTCGATAGTGAAAAGAAGAGAAGAGTAGAAAGGGGAAATTGGGGACGATTCCGTCGGTAAGTTCGGTGCGAAAAGGTGTCTTTTCACGTACTAGAAAGGCGATAGTTATCAAGCATGGCCCGAGAATGACATTTTGCTCAGCGTACGTCGGCTGCCGATATGTTTGTACTGTGCTGAGTCGAACAAAAGGGTAGTGTTGGAAGGAAATGAAGGATGTGAAGGGACCGGGACCGGTGGCTGGTGGTCGGTGCCGATAGATAGACTGGGGCTTGGTAGCAAAAAGTTGCAGAGACGTCGTGTATTTTCTTAAAAAGAATGCGGCGAATGTTCCTCGGTGTCTGTCCCTCTTTCTGCTGCGGCTCGTAGGGCTAGCTGTCTGCCCCCCCGTAACACATCCCTGCTTCCCCACCAGCTTCTCCATATCATTCTGATCTTGCCTCCAAATGCGGATCCGCTGCTCCTTAAGCGGGTTAGGACATCAAATGCCCCCACGGATACTGCCGTCAAATCCGCTGTGGTGCTGCGCCCGGCGTTACTGAAGCCGCTGTATTCGTATTAATGGGCATTTGTCATAAACTGGGCTTCTGTGGCATGGTGTTCCTGGATTGATACCCCTTTATTGATGGATAAGGGTTTTCTGTGAGTAAGAAAAGCCTTTCGTTGACAAAGGCCCCCGACAATTCATTACTGTTGTACTTTTTGGTGGTATTCTGTCGGATTGCATTTGCATTTCCTAAGAGATTCAAAAACAGGTGTGACCAGAAAAATGACAGCAGGTTTTATGGTTTGTTAGTTTGGATGTGGTTTCATATTATAGGTCTTGTTTTGTGTGTGTGTGTGTGTGTGTGTGTGTGTGTAAGTATTTTTAAATATAGAAAACGTGGTGCTTTGTGTCCAGCTTATACAAACATCACATCCGGCTTTGCAGCTGATCCTGTCTGTCAGGAATTGCTAGAAATTAAGAGGAAAAAATGCATTTAATCAAATAAACATGAGCACACTCACTTCATCCTGATTCCTGCCTTCTGCTTAATTAAACTTTTGTAGAACCTATTACAATCCTTTCAGAACATTTTGTTGATGTTAAATTGTCTGCATTTTAAATATGGTTTGGTGCATTTAGGGGATGAGAAGATGGATTTGGTTTCCTTGCAATTTATTTGCTTCAATGTATTAATACTCTGTGATTGGTTGGTATTGTAATTGTCTGTTTTTGTTCGTGAGTATTTGGATAACCTAATACCTTTTCTCTTAGTCTAAATAAACAATAGAACAAACTAAATGACTCTTGACTGTTGACTTTGCAGTCTTTTCCCGTTGCGCTCGCTGGAGCTGCTCGAGTCATCAGGCTGTGCAGTATCACCCCTGACTTGACCGGTCCAGGAGGGTCAGTCTTCCTGCTATACGCGCGATGACTGTCTCTGTGCTGAATCCGCACGTGCGTCGGCTCATGTGGAGCAGCGCTGCCATTGCGTGCATGTGCCATCACACGGTGGCAATAACGCAGCCAGCAAGGCTACCGCAGAGCTGGTACACCTGCGTGCAGTGGCACGCAACTTGGATTCTCTAGGAAAACACAGGCAGATATGGACTGGGGGGTGTCACTACATTTCATCATGTTTTGTACCCACTATGCACAACAAAGCAACACATCATGTTATAGGCAGATGCAAGCGGCTGTTTTCGCGAAAATATAGACCTGTCAGTTTTGATCTTTTTAATAATTTTGTGCTGATGTCATTTGTAGCTTTATGAAGTGTGCTAAGTGCCCTCTGTTAAATATTAGAATATTATAGTTGAAGTGCCTCTGGGGTTGGGGGGGTGGGTTGAGGCTCTTCAGTATCGTCCTTTCATGACCGTCCTTCCCTTTCGTCCTGGGGGGACAGGGGTGGACTAGTATCACATGGTGTCCTGTGGTGATGCTCAGAAACCAAGGCCTTGACTGACTTGCTGGTTCTCCAAGAAAGTGCCATAGGGCTTCTCTTGGAAGTAATGTGTCTGGAAACCTGCAAATTGAAACCCTGAAACCTGGATGTGGTTACATCTTACATACTCAAATAAAACCTATGAATGAATAAATGGCTGAGAAGAGGCTTTAGTGAATCAACTGTTTCAGGATTCCCTGAGAACTGCTAACTGGGATTTTTGGGAGAGATGAAACAGGAGGGCTAGCAAATGAGTTTCATCTCTGTGTGGAAACAAGCATGACTCACTGCTCAGTACGTTCACTGTGCTTCTCGGTGCCAGTTTGACAGCAGGCCCACCTGGAGCAGGGTTGTGTTACCCGGCCCTCCCCCTAGCTTGACAGCAGATGGCGCTCTCTCCATGCTCTGGTTGGCTGGGTTCTCCCAGCCTGTTGCGGGCCCTACAAGCCCCTCTCCACGCTGCCCGCTTCCGTGGTTCCTGATGCCGATTCGTGTGACCTTTTTGCCGTGCTTGACTGTCGTCTCTGGGCTTCCGCAGGTGGGACATGGCTCAGGAGACCAACCAGACGCAGGGGCCCATGCTCTGTACCACTGGCTGTGGTTTCTATGGGAACCCCCGGACCAATGGGATGTGCTCGGTGTGTTATAAGGACTATTTACAAAGACAGAACAGCAGTGGCAGAGTTAGTCCCTCAGGTAGGCCTTCCTAAGACGCTGCTCCAAGGCAGCTGGAATGAAGCTGCATTCATGCAGATGTTTTGCTGTTCTGATAACTGCCATCCACCTTCAGTTCAGATGCTTGCTGCCAACCTGGCTGAAGTTAAATAAATGGACCAAGCTTGTGTTGTCTTTAACTGCCTGTGGGCTGCAGCAATTCTGGTACCTTCCACGGGGTATAAATTCAAAGGTCTTCTCAGAGCTCTGCAAATATAACTTTGAGGTCACGGTGGAGATCCCATTCCTTAGCGACGCCCCCTGCTGGCGGTCACTCCGTAAAGCTTCCTGTGTTGCCACAGCCTCATCCGGGGTCAGCGCTTTGGGGGAGTCCCTGGCCACGCCTCGCACGGACAGCGGCGTCCTGGTGCTGGCACCAGCGTCGCCCTCGGCAACTGCCACCCTGGAGACCAGCAGCAGGTACGCTGTTCTTGCCGTCAGGCTCATCCGGAGGTGACTCCAGAAGGTTCTGGTCGTTTCTGCCTTGCTTTTGACCCCCTCAGGGGGGCTGCAAAGCCCCTGGGCTCGTATGAATATGAATATGAATATTTACCGTACTGTTTGCGAGATCTTCACCATGACAGGAGACAGTCTTGTTTCCTTTATTGATATTTAGTTATCTTGCCCTCCTCTCCCCTCTCCAGAAGTTTGTGAGAGTGTGAGAGTGTGAGAGTGTGAGAGTGTGAGAGTGTGAGAGTGTGAGAGAGAGAGAGAGAGAAAGAGATTTCCAAGATGGGCCACACCAACTTATTGTTGACTACAGAAATGTACCTGTAACCAAAGAAAGACTCCATGTGTTTTGCTCCATCCTGATTTGTCAGACTGGTTAACCATGTGTATTGAAAATGTGACTCACTTTGTGGGTACCGCCCCGTAGACCTGCTCCGATTTTATTTAACAAAAACCACCTGGATTTTTTTGGTGTCATATCCAGCCAGAATCTGTTATCACAAGCGTCTGTTACACATTCTGAAGAGGACGACTCAACGGGGGACAAGGCAAGGCCGAAAACGGACCATTTACAGGGTACCCTGATTTCCCGATTCTTCATTTCGCTGGCGTAATGTCCTGCTTAATTTGCAAAATGGCCTCTACTAATTTTAATTTTATCGCTGAAGTGCCACTGATCTGGAGCTAAGTGCACACCTTGACCGGCCGGCGGGAGCCAGGTGTAGCAACAGGATGACTGGGATGTATCTGAATAGCCGTGGGTGTGTTGCAGACCATAAAAACAGGCTCCTGGTGCTGGGGATCACCTCTCGCAGGTGCCCTTTCCTTGTTTTCAGTGGTTTTTAACAAGGAGTGGACCGACATGTCACTAGTTTGTGTTGAGTGATAATTTTTTTTCAATTATATTACAATTTCAAGGATGCTAGAATATTATAATGACGTTATGTTTATGATTTGAAGCAGTCACATCTTTTCACCAAATACAATCCAAACAATAAACAAACGCCACTTAAGTTTATGTATTTGCTAAATTAAAGTTGTACATCTTGCCCACTTCTGGGCTTACTTCAACTGTAAATGAATGTAATTCATAAATGTATGCAGCAGGATTAGTCCTAGAATATCCAGGTCTACACACTGCCACCACTTATTGTTACACAAGCTGCCTCTGCTCATGAAGGCTTTGCTTAACGTCGGCAGTAATTGGACTTGTTTAATTTTTTTAGCTGAATGGTGACGTATTACAATATTTGCTGAAAATTGCTATTCCTAGAAAGGGATTTTTCTATAATTGGAAAATCTTAGCTGCAGTAAAACATCTGTCACCCGTATCTCCCCACAATGACGCCTCTCAAACCCTCATTGCCAAACAGGTGATGTTCAGTCTCTTGTGGTACCCGGGGCAAGGCTGACTGGTTTAAACGGCTTGTTTCAGTGATATTTCCGTCGTCTTTGATCCTGAAATACCTGATTGAAATAAAATTGAAGTCCTTTAAGAGCCTTGGGACAGAATTAACTTTATGTACATATTTACTTTAGTGGAATTCTCCTTTACAGCTTTTCATCTCAGATAAGCTCATTCAGATAAGCTGCTGTCTGTGCTGACATATACTCCCCTATGCACGTGCTCGGTGTGTCAGAGGGCTGACTGGGTCATGCTGCCATTTTGCACATTGTGGACTTTATTTTTCCACTCGGTTACTCCCGACACTGCAAACAAACCATCTGTGAATCTCTAGCTGTAAAGTTTGTAATAGAAAGCAGGAAAAGTCCAGTTTGATCAGGGCAAGGTACCAGCTAGCCACTAGATGGTGACTGAGAGTGAGCTGTTTATCTGAGCGTGTGTATTGGGGGGGGGGGGGGGGTTCCCCCCTTTCCGAAGGTCAGGTCAAAGAAGACAAGGAAGCTCTTGAAAGATGATTAGATGGAAAGTATGACTGAACTTAAGTAAACATCTGGTCAGGACTCTTCTGGAGAAACCCCTGACCTAGACTTTGTGTCTATCCCTCCAGCATCGGTGCCAGAAAACACAGAGCGGGGCTCTGCGGAGGGCCAGGAACCGTCCCCTGATAGACCCAAGCAGAAGAGGAACCGCTGTTCGATGTGCCGCAAGAAAGTGGGCCTCACAGGTCGGTGCTCTGGCTGCTCCATAGTCCCCGGCGCGCATTACCCTGCCGCGGCGTTGTCATTTAGCGGTGCCGCGGTCTGGGTCTTGCTGCTCCCCCTGTGACGCACCTACAGTGACAGGGTACAGATGCCTTCTAGAAGAAGCCTGTATGCCTACTGCAGACTCATCTTGCTGCTCCGTCTAGACTTGAACGTATTTTATGATGGGAATGGAGTGAGATGGTACATTTCTGCTTTAATGGTAAATGTAGTAAAAGTGCTTTGGGTCACAGGCCAGGTTAATGGGATTCCTCTTCACATGTGTGCTGCTTCAAATGTTATAAACCATAATGTAGGGGGAATAATGAGCAGGGACTGGGGTCGCCATCCGTGAGCGTGTGCTGGAGGGTGCCTAGCTGACCCCTGTGCGCCTCGTACCCAGGCTTCGACTGCCGCTGCGGGAATATGTTCTGCGGGATCCACCGGTACTCGGACATGCACGGCTGCACCTTCGACTACAAGGCCGACGGCGCCGAGAGGATCAGGAAGGACAACCCCGTCGTCGTCGGAGAGAAAATCCAGAAGATCTGAGAATGTCTGCCCAACCCCCCCCCTCCAAGATTAAATTCTTCACGGAGATCTCAGCAATACCCCCCCCCCCCCCCCTTCCGGCCCTTTAAATCATGCATGTCACCTCAAAAAAATGCCTATTTGAACATCTTATTCAAAGTGTTTCCTTTGAAGTTTTTTCACTTTCACGGTTTCTTTTGTGAGTCGTGTCATATGATACCTAATAGGGTTTATGTGATTTTCCTGCCATTTTTAACTTTAACAGCAGAGAGACTGAAATTCGATGTGGGTAAGATTGCATGGTCCCCCGCCCCTTTACTTTGTACTGTGTATATAGTTTTCCTATATTTCAGCACAACTTTTTCTGATAGTGTTTTTAAGGCACTAATAGGTATTTATCACTGAATGTATTCAGATGCGTGTGGCTGATCCTTTTTGCTCTACATTAACAAAACGATTTTTGCAAACGTTTGCATATTTTCTGTGTATGATCTAGAGAGATGAACGTGTGTGTGCGTGAGCGTGAGCGGTATGGACTAGACTGTTTGCATTTCACTGTTGGCTGTGAGTTTTATTGGGAAAATATAGTTCATTTATATGAATGCACAAAAGATGTATAACCCGAAAGAATTGTGCTGTATTTATGTTAGTTAATTCACTGCATAACTTTGATCTCAATAAAGTTAATTTTAATTTTACTCGTTGCCGAGTTCATGAATTTCATCCATTTACGCGAAGTGTTGGTATGATTATGTACACTTGGGACATCTCCACTCAAAGTTAATGATCCTTTGTCTTATCGAGACGAAGACGTACGCCTAGGTTTTTCTTATTTACAAAAGCAGACAAATGGGTTTCGCTTAAAATAACTGACAAGTGATGTGTCCAAGTCCGTCCTATAATCTGATTATTCACAAACATATCAATAACATTAACGCTTCCGATGGCGTGTTACCCTGAGGTGTGTGTGTGTGTGTGTGCGCGTGATCTGCCGCGCTGTGACTGACCGAGCCTTATTGATTGTGCTTAGACATTGAAAAATGTCCGTCAAACGAGGGCGAAAAAACCCGCAATTCATAACTTACCTTTTTTTTCTCTCTTTCTTTCAAGGAATACAAGTCACAGTACACAGCACCAGTCACAATCATATGACAGTCTTCGCTATCATTTAATAGTGTGACATTCCAATAATAATGATAATGCCTATAATAGGTTGGCCTATATACGTTCCAGTATTACATAAATATATTCACTAGTTCTTACCAACCACAGCTGAATAACTAGAGAATATGAAGGCACTTTTGCAGTTGTTCATGAGTTTAATCGAATCCAAAATATTGCTACGCTTCTTAAAGAAATTGGTGTTTCCCGTACTGTACTGCCCAATATACCAGGCACATGCTGCAATCGTTCATGTTAATCAAAATATTTGTAAATTAACGGTAACAAATGTTGATCAGAGCATCGTTTAAAGCTCCAATGCTGGATGATAAAGCAGGCATACTCGACAATAGCGACTTAATTTTATGTGATGTTCACGTTTCTAACAGGAGACATGTTTATTTAAGCAGAAATGGATTTGGTTCATCTTACTATTCTGGACTGCAGCTTTCCAGCCGTCAGCATGTGTCGGATGAGGTAAGTGCAACTTTAAAAATCGCCCGCTTGTCTAAAAATACCGGATCTGATAAAAAAAAAATAATAATACTCTTTTCAAGTGCAGAAGGAGTCCTACCCAGGCACAATGTGTCATCCGTTGCTTCCGGAAAGGACCCCGTCACCCGCCTCTGCCTGAGCCCCTCTTGAGCTCCTGCTGAGCTGCAGCAGTCAGGCGTCTCTCGGCCCTCCGACGGTGATCACCATGTGAAGAAGGCTTACCACATACTACGTAATGTACTGTTTGGAGGTACTCAGGTTTAAACATTTTGAACAGTTCCTCATCCAAATTTGACCCCAACAAGGAAATTAAGTTTGTCAGGGATGGGGAGGGACTCTGCAGATGCACTGAACATACAGTAGTACAGTTACTATTAATACAGAAATGTCATCTTATTAGCTGACGCTGATGCTGTGGAGCAGTATTTTCCAACCCGATCCTCGGGGATCCCCAGACGGTCCATGTTTTTGCTCACTCCCAGCTCCTTGCCAGATGGTCCACATTTTTCCTACTGGGAGACGGAACGTCGGGGGGTCCTCGAGAACCGAATTGGGAAACACCGCTATGGAGGACTTGCTCTGTCTTTCCTCTGATCTCTCACTGTGCCTGTCCTGCCCTGTCTTGCCTCTGATCCCTCACT